TGCAATATTTTAACAGTAAAGAGGGTGAATTACCTTGGCAATTACAACATGTTGAAAATAACACTAGAATAACTGACTAATGACAAAAGCAAAATGTATTATGTAACACAATAGTTTTACATATATTGTACTACATTAATAATTTTGTCACTTATTAAACATAGTTGGAGAAGTACATGTAGGTTGTGCTTGCCAATGATGCTAAAATTCACAGTTAAACAGTATTTGCTGAATTTGAATTTTTGCCTGCTGCTTCATTGGAGGTTGTAGCCCCTTTAACTGAGGTACAATACATCTACAAAATAGTGTCTTCGTCACCTTCGTCTGTAGATATAGCATCCACAGAAGTACTAAGTGCTTTTGAAATGTTGATTCCCTTGAAAAGTGCCTCATCTAGTTGTTGCTTAGTTACCTTTTCTGCACATTTTCTTTTCCTAGTATTTGTACTACCTTTTCTATCATTCCTAAAGCCTAGGCCTCCATCGAAACTAGTATAATCCACTTCACTTGATACACTGGTTTCATCATCAGCAACAATAGAATCGTCTGTAATTGAATTCCCATCAACATGTAGACTATCATCTGGTATTGTAATGTTTGTAATTGTGTCTCTGTGTTCAAAAAAACTTTTAAGCCAATCAAAGTTTTCATATTAAGCAATATATGGTAAATCTTTACGTCCAGATCCTGTTGGCGAAGTTTTCTTTTTTTTAAGTATCTTCCAAAGCTTGTTCTAATTGATTTGTACCTCTTTTCAGCTTCTTCTGGTGTCACTCCAAATGTAGTAGCAATAGCTGACCAGGCATTCTGCTTTTTGTATTTGTCCTTGAAGTCTCTGGAAAACTTGTCGTACAATACAGTATACTTCTGTATTTCCTCCATATATTCTTGTGAGTTTCTTATGCTTTTTGCACAAGGTTGAGGCTCGTTTGAAGCTTCCTTTTCATATCCCGTTCCATCATGCTTTCCATCTAGCATAGTTGCCATTTTGTTTTCAGTGTGGAGTATAGGCGGAGTCGGGTCGTAATTGGGCAGAGAGGCTGAGAGAGCTCTGTTCCCATCGGTTTCCATAAAATACAACAGTCGCTCAATGATTGTGGAAATCGTGGAGATAGAACTTCGTGCTATCTCTACAACAATGTTGCACAACTACCCGAGGGTGGCAAAACAGTTGCAGTGAATGTTTCCATAAAATCGTGTTGCTGTTGCACTACAATTGCACAATAATTTAGCCATATGGAAACCAGGCTGAAAGAACCACAAGAGCCCTCAAGTCTGTACCTGTTATCTAGAAAAGAGAAGTTTTTGTGGATAAGGCTGAATCTCCAAGTGACACAGAAGACATTAATCTAAACGTTTGTACAGTTTCCAAGATATGTTATTTTATATTGGGAGATATAAACTAGTAAAGTAGGCCATTATTAATGCGTATATGTGTGCGGATGTGTGAGATGAAAGAGATTAAGTAGTGAGCTAGAATTAGTGCCGACCAGACTAAAGTGTCTCTTTGTCATCCTTTGCTCTCCTTTTCTTCAATAGTGGTGGCTCCAGTGACTGAGTGAAGGGCAGAATTCTGAAGTGGTGGTATTGCAGAACCACACGAAGCCTGTCTACCCTGTCCCTCATGTTCTTATAGGCCCTTTCTGTATTGTTAAAAGAGGCATGGAGCGATTCAGTTCCCTGTTCTTCCATGCATCCACAGCCTATCCTCCACCTCTTCATCCAAGGAACTATGTGGTCCTCCAGCATGTGTAGCTTGGGGAGAAAGGTAGCTGATGGAAAGTTCGTCCTGTAAAATTTGACGAAAAGATCGATGGCAGTCTCTAACCAAATCGTGTAACTTGACATTAAATGAAACTCTATGATTTACCTAACTCTGTACTTTTGACATCTATCTGATAGTACGTGATTACTGTCATATATTTTATGACATTTAGACAATAAGATGTAAGCCTCAATGAATTGTCACTGATTTAGCTGGCTTTCACCTTGATATCAGTGCTCATTGTTGCTGCCGTAGTAACAAGAAAAGTACAGAGAGTATGGATGTGTCAGGCTATTTAAAAAGAGTAAAAAGGATAAGAAATTATTTTACCTTCAAAGCTTTGTGGATATGGTTGCCAATGAAAGATCCACCATGATAAGCTTAGCGCTCTACATTAAAAAATGACAGAGCTTGATCTAGCGCTTTCACAAAAACTCCATCCTGTTCAAACCCTTTTGACACAATCCTTTCATGGTGAGTGATTGATTTTTCCCTTATATAGAGATGAGAGAGAATAATAAATATAAGACAATGAAGTATTGTACATACATTGGCTCTGATTTTGATGATATTTGTATTTGTGACCATAATTGACAAAAGGTACCTTATGGCGGATAGGAAAATTGGTCTTCATAGCCTGAAAAATCTAACTTCCTGAGCTCCAATTATCATTAAATTACTCCAGAGGATGCAAAAAGTTACTATGTAACTTTTAGAAACAATTGTTGTCCAACAGAGCACTCACAGGTTGATATTTTTCATTATAATGATGAATTTTAAAATCTGCCATAAGGTACCTTTTGTCAATTATGGTCACATTTATTAGGGAAGATAAAGTTTGCACTGACAAATTCTGCTGAAGATCAGTTACAGACAGTATTAGGAGAGTTAAAATCTGCTGAGCCTGATTGACTTCTCTTTGAAGTGTAGCTGTTTCTGCTTCAAGTGATGTAACTGTTTCCTTTGACTGAAGATAGTTAGCAAAGGAGTGGCTGCATTGCATTGCTCAGCAATGATACAGTCAAGATTGTGACACTCATACTCCAGCAAATTAAAAAGCCTCTGAAAAATTCCTAATGTGATGTGCAAACCTGGTGGACAGACCTATAAAATGTAGTATTTGTAAAGATTATTGGTTCTTCAATACATTTACTTCACCTGAGTTACTGGTACATCAAAGATTGGTTTGCCTATCACATTCTCAATAACTTTAGCCTTCTTCATGTTGGCACCATTTAGCTGAAACTCGTGATGTTTCTGGTGTAAGGACGATAAGGAGCGTTGAGTGATTATAGAGGTAGAGTTTCCAGTACATCTGTCTACTTTTAATTGGTCAGATGCTATGTTACACCATAGACAGCAGTGTCGTCCTATGAAGAATATGGTAATTCATTTTTACAAGTAGTTATACATGTAATTTTAGCATACCACTAGCTCCTGAAAGGCCATACATGTTGCATAGAAACTCATAATCACCTGACATAAAAATTCTTATATTATAATCCATATAATAATTGTTTTGAATTATAATTGTTTTTTATTGTTTTTACTTACATCCACTGTGTCTCTTGTAGGCTGGAAATGATGTCTTTGTACTGCTCCAGGGCAATACAATGATTTACAACATTATCTGGAGCTTCAAAGAGAGAGAATACGCAACTATTACAGACGGAATTTGGTTTGTCTGTATTCACTACTTGGAAGGACATCTTTACAGTTGATCCCCCCTTGTCACCCCCTAGCTTAATCCATATTTTGTTAGGGGGTATAACTCCATCATGCCATGTGAGCTGTCCTAATCTATTAATAGTTTATTTTATAATATACGTGTATGTGTACAGCAGGAAGTTTACCTACTCTTTTCCTCAAGTAGATGAAATACTACACTAGCAAAATCAGAGACACAGGCAAGTGGAGCAGGACAAATCTCCTGACAACTATGCCGTGTTAGGAAAGAAAAGGGTACTAACTCTGCTGTTATCTTCACTTCTTTCAAATCCTTCTTCATAACTTCCCTCTGTTTCCTTTCGCTACTCATGTTAATTCTCCATGCTTTCATCCATCTAAAAAAACAAATAGAGTAAGGCTTTAGTAACGTGTACAATCACCAACACAATACATGTACTGTATATACATACATGTACCTTCTCATGAGTCCGAGTTTATTCAAAGGCAGACATAAATATGCCTTCATGCCTAGACATTGCTCTGGAGATATATCAATTTTGAAATTCAGTTTATTCATTATCTCCTCTCTCTTCGTTAGGGATCATTCTGATCTCATCAGCAATCTGGTGCTGGCTCTCACCCACAGTAAGGTCCTCTCTTAGCTTCGAGAACTCTTTACTTCGCCGACGCAAAGTACGTTGTGAAGCCTTATCAGATGGGACTAAAAACAATGAGACTTTAGTTAAACTAATTGGCTAAAAGTATAAATTAGGTAAAAATCAACACTATGTACATACATATACACTTACTCTTCCTCCTGTTGATACATTGATTGTCTGGTGAGATTGGGGATGTAATTCAGACAGCTTTATTCAGCTCCTCTCTGTGACTTTTCTTGTGAGTCTGGCAATCAGCTTTAAGCAGTTCAACTTTAACATTCATTGCACAGCTGTTACACCTCACATACAAGCCATGGATCATCTTCTCTACAATGCTTGAAGGCTTAATAAAGGTACTGTTGATGGACTCGTAAATGCATGAGCAGCTAGAACAGGTGAAGGAAGAAATGAAAGGAAGGGAAAGAGCACAGTTACAACAGTGCAAAGATTTGCAAGGTAGAACCTCTACAGGTTTTTGAACAGCTGCCTTACAAGAACTACAAGTCACATCATCTTTATAGCTGTTGTCTACCAGTT